TAACTCCATTCAAGGCATCTCCAGAGCCACCTCAGATATCTTTTATCAAATGAAAAAGAAAAAGGGGAAAAAGATTTCTAAGCAAGCTTTTTTGATGCAACTTGTATATGCGGCTACTGCTCAGACGAGTCACTGTGCGTGTCCCTTGCAGAGCCAGAACTCACCTCGGCTATGCCCTACTTTCTGTGAGTATCGGGAGAAGCCTACATTAAGCTCTCACTGTGTAGTACTTTCTTCTGAGCACCTCTCTTCCTCTTGACCCTCTATATTAAAATATCTTCAATAAAATCTCCAACTCTACTTCATTATACCAGCTAGTACTGAATTCTCTCCAGTGCCCAAGTCACAAACCCTAATTTGGCCTGAATCAAGGTTCCTGAAAGTCTTGGGAAATTCCTGTAACTGCTAAGACTAACATTGAGGAGCTGTGTTTCTGTCCCCTCACTCCTGACACAAGTGTCCAAGTTTTCTAAATTTTTCTTATAATTATATGAAGCAGTCTGATTCCACTCTAACCATGCTAGCAAGACCATTCAAACTTGTGGTTCCCTTTTAAAGACAGGCATATGTGCATGTCTTTGTGAGGGAATACCACTTGTGTGCAGGTAACCAAGGAGGCCAGAAGAAGGTGGGGATCCCCTGAGCTGGACTCATAGGTGGTTTTAAGATGCCAGATGTAGGTGCTGGGAACCAAAGTCAGGTCCCCAGGAGGAACTGTAGGCATTTTCAAAGGGCTAAGCCATCTCTCCAACCCTTGTGTTTACCTCTTATAGACAGGACAGATAATATTCAGACACAGAAGGAGACATATTACCAAAGATTACAATTACTTATTGAATGGACCATAATTTCCCATTAGACTTATTTACTCTGCAAATGGATTCATTGTACTTATCAAAAAAATTTAACCTGGCAGTTGCCATCTTTCAGAACGCATGTAGGGTCATTCTATAGCTGAGGACTTTCAGAATGAATTTTCCACTACCAACTTGAATCAGGTCACTTCTCCCAGTTTACACTGTTCGCATATGTGATTTATGATGATCACTGCTTTCCTTCAGGAAGGCTGGAATTTTGATGGATGCTAGGCAGAGAACATCTGTATGATGAAGCCCTTAGTAAAAATCCCTCAATTCCAAGTCTCAAATAAAATTCTATGGGCAGAAACACCCGCATACACACACACCACACACACACACACACACACACACACACCTGTGTGCCAGTGCTGGAATGAGGGTGCACTTGATATCAGAGAGGGAGTAAGGGAGTACAGAAAACCTGAAACTCTTCCTTCTTCAGACTCTCCTTACATCTCGTCCCTGACTGACCCCTGTATGCAATGCACCCTGCGTCACTGTCATGAATATGAGCTGTGAGCACAACTATATTCTGATTTTGACTCAACAATTACTGAATACGCATGTATTCTTAGGTGGAACCAAACCAAGGCTCTTAGTTTAATTTTTTGTTTTATATTTTGAAACAAGGCTTCAATCTGTAGTCCAGGTTGCCATCAAACCCATGGTGACTCACCTACCTGCACCTCCCAAGTGCTAGAATTATAGGTGTGAACCACCACACCTGGCTGTGATAGCAACTGCTGCTACTTCTCCTCCTCTTCTTCCTTCCTTCTTCCTCCTCCTTCCCTTATTCTTTTTTTTGGGGGGGTTGTCTCACTGTGTAGTCCTGGTTGGCCTGAACTTAGTAGTAGACAAGGCTAAGCGTCAAACTCAAGAGTTGTGCCTTCCTCTGCCTCCTGAACACTTGGACTAAAAACACGTACTAGCGTGCCCGGCTGCATGTACTTTTAAATTACACTTTAGTGGGGGGAGGGGAGGCGCATGTGTGGAGTTGGTGGGGGTGTGTGTGTGTGGAGGTCAGAGGACAACTCGTGGGAGTCAGTTCTCTCCTTCCACCAAGTGGATCCTGGGGACCAAACTCAGACTGTCATGCTAGGCAGCAAGTGCCTCTACTCATTAAGCCATCTTACTACCTTAATGATTTTACATGTACTTTTCAGTAATTAATAAAAAAACTAAAAACACTACCCTAGAATGATTATGCCATTGAACCGACTACTGTAAGCCTAAAACTGGGGGGAATTAGCTGTTAGAACTGCTGCCATTCTGTAGACAACAGAGTGGCTGAAGATTTGGTTCACCAGCTCTAAATCCCTAAATAATATTCTTACATCTCCCAAGTGCTCAGTGATAAATATTCTCGGCTGGGAAGAATGCAGAGGTTACAGCTCAGGTGTTCTTACTAAAGGTACGACCTTTACACTCTGCCCCGTGAAGACAAGGCTGCCCGTACATGCATCAGAGAGAATTTCAGGGCAAGGAGACATCCTTGCAGTGCCCATGCTCGAGCTGTTTACAAGCAGTAGTCTTCTCTGAAAGAAACACAGCTCGAAATAAATCACCTCATAGCAGTGTGTGGCCAGCAAGGCAGTCACCTGCCTTTCAAAATTCAGCAGTCCCATGGAGGTGCAAGAAAGAGTCTGAGGGAAGAAGTCCTTAGTGATTCTAGTGTCTGTCACTGGATTATTGGTCACCATTCTTGGGGGTTGGGGGATTTGTTTATTGGTTTTTTGTTTGTTTGTGCAAGGTTTCACGTAGCCCAGGCTAGCTTTGATGACCTTGAACTTCTGATCTTCTTGGTTCCACCTCCAAAGTGCTGGATTACAGGCCTGCATCACCATGCGGTGCTATGCGGTGCTATGCCGTGCTGTGCGGTGCTGTGCAGTGCTATGCGGTACTATGTGGTGCTATGTGGTGCTAGGGATCAAACCTCAGGGTTCATACATGCTAAGCAAACATTCTACAACTGAGCTGTATTTTCTATGCTGTTTTTTTTTTGGAGGGGGGTATTTTGTTTTATTGAAGCAGGGTCTTGATATGTAACCCTGGTTAGCCTGGAACCAACAGTGTAGACAGAACCAGCACTGACTTTGCAGTAATCCTCTAGTCTCTGGAGTGCTTGGATTACAGGTATGCACAACCATATCTGCCAACAATCACCATTCTTTATTGAGATCCCTGTAGTATATCAGGTTTAGACCACCTTCTGCTGCTGCCTGCACTTACCACTTCAGTGGAGAGCCACCTGTATGCTAGGTAGCTAGACAGACATAGGGAAGGTGCCAACTTGTGATTGGTGTACAACCATGGAGGCCTACATACAGGTCGGCTGAAATTGGGATGAGCTCCATTAAAGGGGCTTTTCTTCTAAGGCTGTATCTGTTTCAGGCCAGTGCTCAGCTACGGAGGAGCTTCACTCAGTAGTGCCAGCCTCCACGCAGGAATCAAAAGGTCGCACTCAGCAGGCGGGTACAAGGACAGCCAGACTACACGAACCACACACATTCACTTGTTAGCTTGTTCTTGCAAACAGCCAGATGCTTAACAGTGAATAATTTCTCTCAGCCAACTAACTTGCTTCATTGTCACCTCCTTTTCTACATGAGAATCTAATAAAAGAGAACGTAAGGCAGCCATGGCATTTCACGGCACACATGTGATTTGGAATTCCACATTGGAATTTTCAATCTGTAACATAAACTATGCCGCCTGAGAACCCGGGAATGTTTTCCTCGCATGAAATCTCTTGTGTAGAACCATAGCATACAAGCAGGCAATCTGGGGACCACATCTGAAACAGAGAAGAATCTGGAGACCCCTTGCCTGCTCCCTATGGTAGCCCTCAGACACAGTAGGAAGGCCACTGCTCTGATTAAAGACAGCAAAGAGTGATTAATAATTTGATAAGGCAGCAGGCATGTAAGCCATGTAAGGCTGTTCCCATATGAACCCACGGAAATGGGAAGCACTAGAGCCGTGAGCATCTCTGAATAATAATGCCATTATAAGAAGGCTTGTGTAACACAAGCTCACAAACATCCCTGGTACCGATGCTCCATGATCTCAAGTGCAGCCTGCAATGGTTGTTTACAAGGGTAAGAGTCTATGCAACACACAGTATTACTGTGATAGTCAATCACCCTTCCTAAGGCTGGAATAGTCTAGGTAATTCCTTCCACATCTAAACTTTCTCCATATAATGCATACAACATTCTCGAAGGAGAATAAGTACAGATATAAATTCTATCCAAACTATTATTTAAATGTAATGAAATCTTGGTCACTACCTTGATCTTAACAATTACTGTGCTGTTCATCTGGGAAATTAGAACAGAGCACTACCTTCTCTCCGCTCCTGTTTTTTGCTTTTATGGTTGGTTATCTGGGTTTTGTTCAGTAGGTAAGAGTACTTGCCTAGCATGCATGAATCCCTAGGTTCCATCCTCAGGACAGCTAAATGCGGTGACAGATATCTGTAATCTCAGTATTTAGAAGTTAGAGGCAGGAGGATCCAGAGTTCAAGGTCATCCTTGGCTACATAGTAATTTCAAGAACAGCCTGGGATATGAGAGACCCTGTCTCCAAAAACAAATACTAAAGACATGTTGTCTCACTATGCCTACCAGGTTTTCCTAGAATCCATGATCCTCTTGCTTCAGCTCTCAAATACTGGGAATTCAGGTATACATCACTATAGCAAAATATATCTTTGAAATTTAAATGATAATATTCCTAAAGTAGACACAGGCTTGATAATGAAAAGAATAGCAAAAGTTCAGGTATAAGGGATCATCAGTTAAACAGAAATTAAATAAAAACCAATTTACTTAACAACTTTCAGGGAAGACAAGGAAAATCAGATCCCTTACCTTATACTATTAACTCACAATAAAGTCCAGATACGCTGTTGGATATTAGACTATGAAAGTGTTAGAAAAAAACATCGGGGTTATAATTTATAAGATGTTTCCTCAGGAAAGATTTTAGGCATGATACTAAAGATAGAATGCAGAAAAAAATTAAATACATACTTTTCTTCAAAACTTAAATTCCACAATGATTCTAAATTTTGTGGAAAAGTTAATATGCTAGTAACCATGCATCTGGACCCATCGCTAGGAGCACTAAACTGGTTACCTGTACGACAGTCTGCTCATCTGTTGGAGGTGGGTATTCAGATTGCCGGTTGCTGCAAGTAAGAACCCCAGGTATGGAGGGGAAGGCTTCATCGGCCTAGAAGTAAACTCCGGATGGAACTGGACACCAACAAAATACGGATGATCTGGAATGTAAACAAGTATGATGTGCTTGAATCAAACAGGCATGACAACCGCTAGAAAGGTTGCCATATAGTTGAATACCCACACTAAGCACCTCATGCATTCTAGGCAAGCATTTTACCAACTTAGCTATATCCCCCAGCCCTAGCCTGCTTCTGGAAGGCCTTTCATTGGCTCAATTTCCATAGTATCCCTAAACTTCAAGATAACCACCACCTGAGGTTGGGAAAGTGGCTTAGTGGATAAAACATTTTTCTAAGCAAGCATGAGAACCTGAGTTCAAATCCCCAGCATCCATGTAAAAGAGTTTGGCGCCATTGCCCCATGCCTGGAATCCCAGCATAGGAGGGTGAAGACAGAAGGGGTAGGGGAGCTTCCTGGTCAGCCAGCCTAGCAGCAAATGGGGAGTTTCCAGATTGTTGAGAAACCTCCATCTCATGGCAATAAAAGACACTTTTATCAGTGATAAAAGACACTGATATCTTCTTCTGGCCTTTGCATAGACACACACACACACACACACACATGCACACATACACAGAAATTAATTGAACATTCAATAGCTGGTAGCCACTAGACTGAGCAGGCAGATTAGTTTCTGCTTTGGAACAAATTCTCCTGAACAGGTCTGACCTGTTCCAGAGGAGGAATATGTAAGCAGAAGCCTCTTTGAATTGCAGGGCTTCTCAGCTATGAAAGTTTGGCACAGGGAATGATACCTTCTCCCTCAACAAAAGGAAAAAAAAGAACAGAGTATGTTGGTGCAAGTATAATCCCAGCACCCCAGAGGTGGAGGCAGGAAGATCATGAGTTCAAGGTCATCTTCAGCTACACTTCAAAGTCATCCTGGGCTATAGGAGACCCACTCTCAAAGAAAAGCAAAACAAAACAAAAGTCAGTGTCCTCATTAGTTTTTATTGTCAATGTGAAGAACTTAGAGTCACCTGGGAAAGGGGGACCTCAAGTGAAGAACTGCATTAATCATTCTGGCCTATCCATGTCTGTAAGAGATTGGCTTAATTGATGAGGGAGGGCCAGCCCACTGTGATTAGCACCATCCGCATGTAAATGGGTCTGGGATATATATATCTCAGCATGATCTAGAATGTAAGTCAGCAAGCAGTGTTCCTCCATGGTTTCTGCTTCACTTCCTGCCTTGATTTCCCTCAGTGATGAACTGTGACCTGGAAGTATAAGCCAAAATAAACTCTTTCTTCACCAAGTTGCTTTTGGTCATACTATTTATAACAACAGAAAGCAAACTAGAACAGTCCAAACATAGTGGTAAAAGCCTGTAATCCCAGCATTCAGGAGGCAGAGACAGGAGGATCACCACAACTTTGAAAGTTGTGGTCTACACTGTAAGCCTCAGATACATAGTGCGATCCTGTCTCAGAAAAACAAAAACAAACAAAAAACCAAGGGCCTTAGGAAATGGCTCTGGAGGTAAAATGTTTGCCTCCAGCAAACCTGATTATCTGAATTCCATCCCTGGAACCCATGTGGTGGAAGGAAAGCATCAAAACCGTCTTCTAACCTCCATACACAAGCTATGGCATGAGACCCCCCTTCAATCCCACCCCCCACAAATAAATAAATGTACTAAAGTAAAAAAACCACAAAAACATAATAAACAAAAATTTATTTTAAAAACAAAAAGTCATCTATGCTTAGAGAAGAAATTGAGCAATATAACGTTAAAGTAAAACACATTAAACATTATAGCATAATATCTAGGGATGTCTTAGAAAGAAAAAGACAGTACTTCTATTTCTGCAGAGCTATGGAGAGATGCTGTGACACACATCATGTCATAGCCAGGGACAGACTATTTCAATGAATGGATCATTGCTCGGAATCGCTTTATTCAAGCAAATTCTCTGAGTGGATATGAAGAATGATGAAAGAGTTTTTATTTTGATGATGTTCTATCAGTCAAACAAAGTACCTTTAAAAGTAATGCTCTTAATGGCTTCTAAGCAGATTCTGACATTCTACAAATCTCAAGTCTTGTTCCTCTCAGAACCCTTGAGGGACAGTAGAGACTTGTGGTTATGCTTCTAAAGGGTACTTAAGATCAAATCTTCTGGGGAATTTTCCTTCATAAAATGAATTCCCTTGCAGTCGGCTTTTAAAACCTGCAAGGTTGTACAGCAGCTCTCATTTCTTTCCCAGCCTTCATTAAATCTGAAGGCGTCGATGGGAATCTAAATCTTTGTGAAGAAAATGGCCTCTCGGTATTTGCTGATAATAAGAGAAGCACGAGAATGAAGAGAGAATAAGCACTGGAACCAAGTAAACAAACAGCTATTTGCTTAAGAAATTCTCTGCCCCTTCTCACAAGTCACGAAAGGCTGGTAGCCTTCAACAGCCATCAGTGATCACACTTGAATTCAACATCAAAATGACTCCTGAAACACACCATCACTATTCTCATTCAAAACTCTACACAGCAACCAGACATGGTGGCTTACACTCTAATGCCAGCACTTGAGAAGCTGAAGCAGGAGGACTGTCTCAAGTTTACTCCCCACCTCCTAATGCCTGCTCAATGGTCCTGGACATGTTATTTAACGAACTCCAGCCTCTGCCATAAAGGGAGGAATTAACATCCATCGACCACTTTGTGAGGACACCACAGGTACATATGGACTCCCTAGCAGGGGCTTTTAGATCAAGCATCTAATAAACACACTAAATATCCATTATTTTCTTTCAGGGTCTAGGTAAGAGGCTACTATGTTCAAGGAAGCTATCTCCAACATCAAGTCTCCTCCAGGATTGGGATTCACCCCCACTCTCTATTTGGGATTCTTAAAGCACTCAAATAGATTATGGAACACTGAAATGGTAAAAGACAGAAAAAAGCATTTAAATCGGAGAATTATGACCTGAGCTGAGATGGAGAAACAGATGCCAAGTTGTAAAGAGAGTCTGGAAGCCTAAAGCACATAGGTTGAAAAAGCAGGTTTTCCCATAGAAGAGAAGGAGGGGAAGAACACTTGAATTCACTGGTACAGAAGACCATTTCCTAAATATAACTCCAATAGCACAGACACTGAGAAAAACAATTAATAAATGGGACCTCCAGAAACTGTGAAGCTTCCGTAAAGCAAAGGAGATGATCAACAAGGCAAACAGCAGCCTGTAGGGAAAAGATCATCACCAACCCTACATCAGATCTCCAAAATATACAAAGAACTCAAAAAATTGGTCATCAAAAGAACAAATAATCCAATAAAAAAATGAAGTACAGACCTAAACAGAGAACTCTCAACAGAGGAATCTAAAATGGCTGAAAGACACTTAAGGAAATGCTCGACATCCTTAGTCATCAGAGAAATGCAAATCAAAACAACTCTGAGATTCCATCTTACACCTGTAAGAATGGCCAAGATCAAAAACATCGATGACAGCTTATGCTGGAGAGGATGTGGGGTAAAGGGAACACTCCTCTGTTACTGCTGGGAGTGCAAGCTGGTACAGCCACTTTGGAAGTCAGTATGGTGATTTCTCAGAAAATTAGGAAACAACCTTCCTCAAGACCCAGCAATCCCACTGTTGGGTATATACCCAAAGGATGCTCAATCATACCACAAAAAAACATGTGCTCAACTATGTTCACAGCAGCTTTGTTTGTCATAGCCAGAACCTGGAAACAACATAAATGCCCCTCAACTGAAGAATGGATAAGGAAAATGTGGTACATTTACACAATGGAGTACTACAGAGCAGAAAAAAAAATGACATCTTGAAATTTGCAGGCAAATGGATGAATCCAGAAAACATCATGTTGAGTGAGGTAACCCAGACCCAGAAAGACAAATATAATATGCACTCACTCATAAGTGGCTTTTAGACATAAAGCAAAGAAAAACCAGCCTACAATTCACAATCCCAGAGAACCTAGACAACAATGAGGACCCTAAGAGAGACATACATGAATTTAATCTACATGGGAAGTAGAAAAAGACATGAGTAAATTGGGAGCATGGAGAGCATGAGAGAAGGTAGAAGGGGAGGGGAGAAGAAGGGAGGGAAATGGAGGAAAATATATAAATCAATAAAAACAATTTTTTAAAAGTAAAAATAAAATAAAGCATAATAATGAAAAACTTCAATTTTATATATTTTGGTTGTTTATGATCAATAATATTTTTAGCAAGCTAAATTTGTTCTTTGACAATTTCACATACATGTATTACATATATATTAATATATGGTTTTTTTCGAGACAGGGTTTCTCTGTATAGCTTTGGAGCCTGTCCTGGAGCTCACTCTGTAGACCAGGCTGGCCTCAAACTCACAGAAATCCACCTGCCTCTGCTTCCTGAATACTGGCATTAAATGTGTGCACCACCATCAAAAAAAGAAAGAAAGAAAAAGCAGGTTTTCTAACATCATTCTAACACTTTATTTTATGGATTTGTTTGAGACAGGGTCTCTCTGTAGACCTTGGCTGTCCAGGAACTCTGGGATCCAGCAGCCTCTGCTTCCCGAGTGCTGGGATTAAAGACATGAGCCACCATGCCTGGCTATTAATTGATTTGTCAACAAGGTCTCCTTATGTCACCCTGGCTGGCGTAGAGCCCACTATGTAAACCAGATAGTCTTCAAACTCACAGTGATCCTCCTGCTTGGCCACCTAAATCCTGGAATTACAGGCATGCACCTCCATACCCAGTTTGGGCTTCCATTTTGGAGTATCCAACATGTACTTCACACTCAACCAATCAGAGAGGTTTCTCCAACAATTTCACATGATTAGACTGCAAAGCCAGAGCCCTGTCCTGCTTAGAAAGTACTAGAGATGGGAGAACCTAGAGGCAGGGAGGAACTTGAGGACAAGTTAGACTTGAAGCCATCATGCAGTGAGGCTAAGGTGACAGGAACTGGAAGGGCAATCTCAAACACCTCTCTGCATTAACAGACTCTGTGGCACATGACAAGTGATTACAAGTTGCGGTGTGAAGAGGAGGAAGAGCTTACAGTCCAATAGCAAGTTGATGACCTAGGACAATGGTCATTAATCAGGAAGGAGGCGGTTCCTGATTTGCTAGTGTCTACAGATGGTTTTTTATTTGACTGGTTGGTTGGTTGGTTGGTTGGTTGGGTTGGATTTGGTTTGGTTTTTGAGACAAGGTTTCTTGTAGCCCAAGTAGACTTCAATGAACCTAAGGATGACCTTGAACTCCTGATCTTCTTGCTTCTACCTTCCAAGTGCCATGATTACAAGCATGCACAACCACACCTGGCATTGAGATCCTGTTGATTGATCCTAGGACCTTGTGCATCCTGGACAAATACTCTGCCAAGAAGATAGACATTCCCCCCAACTCTGTAAAGATTATTTTGGAACACTACAACTAAGGGGTAGGAGGAAGTAGGTCTGCTACTAGTATCCACTGACCAAAGGCCAGGGATGCTGACCAATAACCACACAGCCCAACAACAAAGAATAATCTTGCTCCAAATGTCAATGGCAGAGAGGGTAAGAAACTCCCAGGAGAGGAGACTGATGGTACATTAATGTAAAATGTCTTGAGGAAGAGTTTGTAGAGCTTTTAAATTGTTTGACATAAAATTAACATGCCAAGAGAACATCCATTCAAACAAACAGATCAAGAAGAAATTCCCTAAGTCTTCAAGTTTGTCAAATAAAATGTATAGTCATATGTCTAGACTGGGGGTGGCAAATATTTCTGCAAAGGGCTGAATAATAAATATTTTAAGCATTGCAAGTCATGAAGTGTCTTTCCTAACTACGCATCTCACTTACTGCAATATTAAAAGCAAAGTCACTCTGATAATTCCTGCCTTTGTATGTGAGAGCCAGCATAAACTCTTGGAATCACCATTCATGAAAGTAGGTCATAAGACCCTCATTCTTGCCAGGCATGGTAGCCTACACCTGTGATTCCAGCATCTGGAAGGTAGAGCCAAGGAAATCAAAAGTTCAAGGCAAGCCTCAGCTAGGTACTGAGTTGAAGAAGACAAGCCTGGAATATATGAGACTGTATCAGAAAAATAAAAACAAAACCAGCAGGGTAGAGGGGAAGACCCTCATTCCCAGGGGATTCTGCCCCGCATCTGTGAGGGAAGATTGTTGCAGAGAGAGGCCAAGAAGAATCTGGACAGTCTTGCTGGCCCTCAGTCTATTACACCTGATCACATTTACCATAATACCTTATCACATTTCCACAAGACTATCTATTCCTCTTCAAAGCTAAGAATAAAAAGAGTTTCCTCTGAATCTTTGGGTCTTCATTTCTGAAGGCCCCTGTGTCACATGAAACTAACTAGACTTGTTAGGCTTTGTGATAGCTAATCTTGTCAACCTGACACACCTGGGAAGAGGAAGCCTCTCCAAAAGAATTGCCTCCACCAGAGAGATCTGTGGTCATGGCTGTGGGCCACCATGTTCTTGATTGCTAATTGACACAAAAGGGTCCAGTTCACTGAGGGCAGCACCAGGCCTGGGCTATATTAAGAAAGGTAGCTGAATGTGAGCTTGGTAGCAAGCCAGCAAGCAGCATTTCTCCACGGATTTTGCTTCAAGCTCCTGCCTTGCATTCTTGATGATGGACTGTAACTTGTAAGATAAAATAAGCCCTTTCCTCCCTAATTTTGGTCAGTGTCTACCTTATTAATGTGTAAGACTGGCCTACATGGTACTTTTTTGGTGGGTTGTTTTGTTTTTTCAAGATAGGATTTCTCTGTGTAAGCCTGGACGTCCTAGAACTCAATCTGACCTTGAACTCACAGAGATCTCACCCCGCCCCGCCCCTGCATCTGCCTCCCAAGCACTGGGGTTAAAAGTGTGCTCCACCACCACCTGGCAGTGTTAGTGATTTTTTGGTGGCATGAAAGCTGAAGAACTAAAGAGTCATGGAGAGAAGATGATCGGTGCCATGTGGCAGAGTTCGAATCCCAGAAGGGAAGCTAGGGAAGGCCACTGATGAAGGTGCAACCCCAGCTACAGTGGAGACCCCAGATTATTGGAGACTCCAGGACTCTGGAACAACAAACAGCCAAGGACAGTAGCAGGTGTGGAAGGAAGCCAGCCTGGACCTATAACACAAGCTGAGTGCTGTAGATGGCAGAGCCAGAGAAGTGGGACTGCCCAAACTTTTTGGAGCTCAGAAGATTATGAATGAGTCCCAGACTATGGACATGGAGTTTTTTACACTGTTAAGATTTTGGTTTTGCTTTGATCTGGTTGTACCTGTACCCTGGTTCTATTCTCTTCAAATAAAAAAGTATATAATTATTTTGTTTGCTTGCTTTTTTGTTTGTTTTTAATTTTACCACAGCCTATAGTTAAACAGTCTTGGACTTTTAAAGAGATACTGAACTTTTAAAGCATGAAAATTTTTAAAGATTTTGAGACTTTAAAAATTGGACCATTATATACTACAATACCAACATGAGATCTTGGGAATAAAAAAGAAAAAGTTATGGTTTAAAGGTGATTTGTTTGATTGTCACATTAACAAGGAGTAGATTTGTGATCACTAATCTTAGTTGTCAACTTAACACATCTAGGAAGAGGAATCTCATTTGAAGCACTGCCTCTATCAGATTAGCCCATGGTCATGTCTTTGGAATATTTTTCTTGACTACTAATTGATGTGGGGTGGCCAGACTATTGTGGACCATACCATCGCCAGGCAGTATAAGAAAGCTACCTGGGAGCAAGTCAATTAGCAGCATTCCTCTGTGGTTTTACTTCAAGCTTGTGCCTTGGCTTACCTTGATGATGGACTCTACATATCCTGTAAGATGATTTAAACACTTTCTTCCCTAAGTTGCTTTTGGTCATAGTGGTATATAACAATAATAGAAAAGCTAAATGGAATATGCTTTGCTCTTCTATTTATTTGTTTGATTGTTTGTTTTCTTCCAGAGCTGAGGATTGAACCCAGGGCCTCTTACCACTGAGCTAAATCCCCATCCATTTCTTTTCTTTTATTAATCTTTTGTCACAGGAATGTCAGCTGTGACCTTGGTGAGAAAAAGGGTTACACCTTCCTACCCCTATACCAATCTCCAAAAAAACTATTTAGGAACACAGAAACTCAAATGTAACATAATTACATAATTATTTTCTCATGTCACAAATGTGCTTTTGAAGTTTTTTAATCACTTAAAAATGTGGAAAAGGTATTAGCTACAGAGAGAAAGAGTGTTCGCACTGACCCCTGGGCAAGCTAAGGAGCTGAGAGAAGCTAGGACCTCAGGCATACTATGTCTGGGTAGGGCTGAATGAGAAGAATGCTGCCTTCTGTCTTGTCAGTAACAAATGTGTGCTTTTGGATCTATGTTTTCAGGGTCTCCTAGCCTAGTCATATATAATTTCTGTGCTACTTATTTATTTTATATAACCCAAAGCTGCCTCAAACTCACTACAAGCCCAGGCTGGTCTTTAAATCAAAGCAATCTCCCTGAATCAAAACTTTCTAGGTACTTTAATTACAGACTCTCTTCTGAGCTTTTCCTCAACAGAAGTCTAGTCCTTTGTGTTTTGTTTGCTTTAAGACAGGGTTTTATATAGTTTAGGCTGTTCTCAACAGGGACCCAAGAATAACCTTGAACAACTCCTGCTCCTCCTGCCAGGATTACTTTACAAGAATGTGCCACCATGCCTAGGTAATACTGTGCTGGAGACAAAACCTAGGACTTTGCACGTGCCAGGCAAGCATTCTACCAACTAAGCTACATCTCCAGCCCCTTGTTTGGTCTTATGAAAAACTCTAAGTGGAATGATTAGTGTCTAGAAATTCAATGACTGGCCAAGGTTGCCCTTCAAGCACAAGCAGTAGAGAGAATTAGTAGATGATCTGGGATAGGCATGCAGTAGACATCCATAGTTACCAACAAGAGCAAGGAGAAGAGCAAGAACACCAGTAGAAGAGCTGTCTGCTTTCTGCAGAGCATTTAGAGCTGCCACGGGATTGAGAAGGGGAAATGGCAAAGCTGTCTGCTACTTGTACAGCTGGTAGATGGGAAAATACAGCTACTGATGCTAAGTTCAGACTAGCAGGTCCCAAAATGACAAGGATTATACGCAATGTGTTTCCACACAAGTTCTGTATGTATTTCAAGGGATTGAGGAATTGGAGGAGGGGACAATGAACTAGATCCCAAATTAGTCTGTGTATGACAAAATGGTGTTAGGTCATTATGAAGCTTTCTAGAAACAAAGAACCCACTTACTTGTCAATTCAATAATTTCCATCCTCTTCCCATATACATCCTGACCAACAAAGCGAAGGTCTTTCTTCTCAAATCGTTTGATCATGTTAGGGTTTACCTGGAAATGCAAGCAAGAAAGTCAAGCTTTGAACTACAGAGAAATTCAAACAGCTTATAAAGAGGTCCTGCATCCATTGGAAGGTTTTTCCATTGCATTGACCCTCTACTTAATTCCTATATTCAACACCCCAAATCTCATTTTAAATTCCTGATGAATTTGAGAAATGAAGTCTAATTCAAGTCACATGAACCTGGGAGGTTCATGCTGTATCACTCAGAGATAGGATAGGGAAAAGGACCATGACAATGCAAATATTCTGAAATCAGAACCTTGATACCAACCACTTATAGACATCCTTGTATCTGCTGCTTCCCTGAGTTAGGTGTACTTAACAATCTGTGATGGCCAATCTTCATTGTCAGTTTAACTAGATTTACAATTATTGGGGAGACACACTGGCATGTGTATAGAACATTTCCAGGAGTTACTGGCTAAGAAGGGAATATCCATCCTGATAGAGGCAGCACTACCCCATGGTTAGGGGCGCTGAACTAAATAAAAAGGAAATAAGGAAAAAATAAGCTGAATATCAGCATTCCTCCCTTCTTCCCTCCCCTTTACTTTCCCTTCTCCCTCCCTTCTTCCTAACTGCTGTCAGAATGGTATCAGATACCTCATATCTGATTTCCTTATAATGATGGCCTATTTCTCCTTAAACTGTGAACCAAAATAAATCCTTCCTTAAGTTTGTCTTGTGTGTATTTTACAAAGCAACAAGAAAGTAACATACACTATCTATCCCCAAATTCTAATTTTTAAAATATGTATGTGTATAGTGTGCATGTGTATAAGCGTATTTGCATGTTATGGATACACATGGGTATGGGTGCATGTGCTCGAGTGTGCATGCACATGGAAGCCAGAGGTTGATGTTGGGTATCTTCTTTCATAGTCTACTAAGGTTGGGCCCCCTATTGAACCTGGAGCTTGCCCAGCTTGCCCCGAGAATCCTGCTTTAGCCTGCTGTGTGCTGAGATGAGGCCATCACACTTCCCAGCACTTATGTGGGTGCTAGGAATCTAAATTCTAGTTCTCACACTTATGAGGCAAGCACTTTACCCAGAGCCATCTTCCCAGGACCCCAAATCACAAGTTTGAGTGAGGATTGAAATTCCTCTTTCCCTTGATCTCGGGACTCTTTTCTGTCCCTTTCTAGAAGCTGACTCCAATTGACAAAGACAAATACAATTAACCCATTGTGGTGGTTTGAATAAGAATGCCCCCCATAGGCTCATATTTTTGAATGCTTAGTCATTATCACTATTTGAGAAAGTTTAGAACGATTGGGAGGTGTGGCCTTGTTGGAGGAAGTGTGTCACTGGAGGTGGTCTTGAGGTTTCAAATGCTCACACCAGGCCCAGTATCTCTCCTTCCCCCACTCAGTCTATGAACCAGGATGTAGCATTCAGCTACTGCTCCAGCTTTTTATGCGCAGCTGTGCTCCCCACCATGATGATGAGAGATGCTACGGAAATATAGCAGCCTCACCTACAGATATTATGAAGCTGGACACAGTTCTCAAAGGGCCTACTTAGAATTGCTGGGATTCTCTGCACCAATCATTCACATCCCTCAGTAACTCAGATGAAAGGCATACCTCATAGCGATGTCTGTGTCTTTCTTCTATATAAGGAACGTCACCATAAAGCTTCTCTGTGAAGAAATAAGAATGGAATTAACACTGAGTGACGAACTTCAGAAGCAAATCAGGGCAAGAGTGTAGATCTCTGTGATCTCCAACAGAGTCAGAGAAAGGACCAGACTCCAAGGAACAATGTAGATTCTCTTGTCTTCCGGTAGGAAATCATGCAGCAATTCTCTTGTCCCTGCTTACCAAGTGCTAAGGTTACAAGAGCACACCACCAGGCTCATCACATGCTGCTGAGGATCAGAGCTCAGGTTCTCATGTTTACAAGGCAAGCACTGTATACACTGAGCCATCTCCCCAGCCCCTATGTCCAATTTTTATGAGGTACTGGTGATCAAACTCATGGCTTTGTGCATGCAAAGGAAGCACTCTACCAACTGAGTCACGTCTCCAGAGCCACCTGCATATTCTCTCACCTTATGTACTGGGTGCTTTTGTGTGTCAACCTAACACAAGCCAGAGTCAGAGAGGAAGGAGCCTCAGCTGAGGAAATGCCTCCTTGAGATGCAGCTGTAAGGAATTTTCTCATTTAGTGATCAACAAGGGAGGGCCCAGCCCACGGTGGGTGGTGCCATCCCTGGGCTGGTGGTCCTGGGTTCTGTAAGAAAGCTGGTTGAAAAAGCCAGGGAAAGCAAGCCAATAAGCACTACTCCACCATGGCTTCTGCATCTCCAGGATCCTGCCCTGTATGAGTTCCGTCCTGACTTCTTTCAGTGATGAACTGTGGTGTGCAAGTATAAGCCAAATAAATTCTTTCCTCCCCAAATTGCTTTTTGATTATGGTGTTTCATCTCAGCAATAGAAACCATAACCAAGACACCCACTGTCCAGATTACTGCATGTTCAACCTTAAAATATACTCTGACCCTAACACTAGACTTCTGGACTGGGAGTGTAGTTCAGTGGTGTGTGTGACCTAACACTAGACTTCTGGACTACGAGTGTAGTTCAGTGGTGTGTGTGACCTAACACTAGACTTCTGGACTACGAGTGTAGTTCAGTGGTGTGTGTGACCTAACACTAGACTTCTGGACTACGAGTGTAGTTCAGTGGTGTGTGTGACCTAACACTAGACTTCTGGACTACGAGTGTAGTTCAGTGGTGGTGTGTGTGAGCGCTAGAGTGCTAGTTTGGCAGGCACAAGATCCTGGATTTGGGCTGGGGAGATGGCTCAGCATGTGTAAGCATTTGCCTCAAAAGCCTGACAACCCAAGTTCAGTTCACGAAACCCATGTAAAAAATCTAATGTGGTACACATCTGTTATTCCACCATTCCTACAGCACGGTGGAAGATAGAGACAGGAGAACTCTCTGGAAGCTTTCAGCCAGGCAGTCTGAAGTACATAGCACAACAAATGAAACCAGAGAGACCTTCCTCAACAAAGTCAAAGGCCAGAATGAACCCCAGAGTTCTCTGGCCTCTATACATGAACTACAGTACATATGTGCACAAAAATATATATAAACACACACACATGGTATGCCACATTCGTGCCCACATACACTAACATACACACACATACACACAGGCGCACACACCACAACTCTCATAGACAGATTCTAGGTTTGATTCCCTAACACTGCCAGAGGTTTGCGGGGAGCGGTAAAATGAAGACAAAGACTAAAGCACAAAGATGTTCACTGTTGTGTTATTTAACAGACGACACATGGAAACGATGTGAGCATCAAAATGAAAAGGCTGGTGGATTGAATATCACCTTGTTTACCTATGCTCAATCAGGAGCGTGTGGCTGCAAATCAGGCAAGTGGGCCTTGTAGCTGCACCACCACGGCTCAGTGCACCACCTTCAGCAAGACCTTGGGCACAGCAGTCTACAAAATGGATGCGCAGTGACTACAGGATCACATGGACAGAGCCAGTTCCATCAGCAAATGCCATTCAATTAGGGTGCAATATTGGAACCCACTGAGAAAGCAGTGACGATCTCCACAGCATCAACCCTCGTGGTTCAGATCCCCAGCACATATCAAGGAACAAAAAGGGCTGGAGTCCCAGTCAAGCTCTACCAGAATCAGGAGCCACGCTCTGCTCGGTAGACAGACTAGCTATAGATTTTCAAAGACATCATGAAGTTGCAATAGGAAGTCTCCACTGAGAAAGATCAAATTAATGCCTCGTGACTTTGAGCTTTTGACTTGGAACAAAAACATACCAATTACATGCCTCTGAATGAGTGATGATCATAGGCAAGCTTCTGTTTGCGATTCTGCCCATACAGACAGGGTGTGTGGTGATGAAATGAATAATAGTGAACAGTTAAGGTATTCTAGAGAAGTCAGGCGATGGTGGCCCATGCCTTTAATTCAGCACTGGGAGGCAAAGGCAGTCAAATATCTAAGTTCAAGGCCAGCCTGGTCTACACAGTGAGTTCCAAGACAGCCAGAGCTGTTGTTGCACAGAGTAACCCCATCTCTAAAAATTAAAAAAAAATGTTTTAGAGAAAAGTGGGGAGAGTTGAGGCAAAAGAGACCTTTGAGAAATATACTGCTGATAGACTGCCAAAGGGTGGGGTCATTCAAGATCACCTCTGTACTAAAACTATTGGTTCATACAAAGAAAAATGGGAAAGAGCAGTGATACACAGTTGGAAAGTAGGGAGGCATTACACCAACTCTGTGTGAACCTCAGAAACTTTGTGATTTATGAACTATTATCTAGCGTAAGACAGTCTGTACTTGCTAAGGTGTCTATCTCACAGGCGACAGGAAGAGGGAGGGAGAAGGAGAAGACAGAGACTCTGAAGCCAGACTAAATGGCTTTAAATACCTCTATGCTATTAAACAGATATGTACCTTGGGTAAATGAGCTAGTCTTGATGCCTCAGTTTTCCCTATCTGTGAAATGGGAATTATGATTATCCCCACTTTATAGAGTCATTGTGAAGATCAAATAAATCCAAGTATTAGAACAGTAAAGAAATCAAATCTATAACTGTTATTGTTATTTCTAGATAATGAAATAAAAATAGAAAGGAAGGATGTAGAACATAAGTTCTATGTGGTAAAAGACAAAATAGGGACCTGTCTGATCTTTAACAGCAACACTTATCACACAGCAGGTAGTGACAGACTTGGGATGAATAAATGGAACATGCATATACAATGCACATAGTGTATGAGACATTTCTGGAATTTTTGTTATCAATTTACTTATTTATTGGTACTAAAGATTAAACCTAAGTCCTTGGATACACTAGGGAAGTGTTCAAACATTGATTAAGTCACACTGTCTTTGTCAGTCTTACTTTAATTTTAAAAAGTTCTTTATTTTGAGACAAGGTCTCACTAAATTAATTCCCTGGGCTGGCCTTAAACTTGCTCTGTAGCCCATGAAGGCTTTGAATTTGTGATTCTCCTGCCTCAGTTTCTGGGGTAGCTGCGATTACTGGCTGAGCCACCACATCCAGCTGTTTGGAACTTTTATTTTATGCATTTAAAATCTTTTATTGCTTACAAATCTATTAGAAATAAACTCAGAAAAGCAACCCATGGTGATGCTTTAAAGTTCTGAGTTAAGAATAAGCTTAAGGGCTGGTGCGATGGCTCAGCAGTTAAGAGCACTCATATACATAAAATTAAATTTTAAAAATAATAATATCAGAAATTATGCTCATAAAGTCTCACTACATGACTCTCCAAATTGAGCTGAACAAGGATGGCAACAATGAGCATGTCAAACCGGCTGGGGGAAAGCCCACACTGCCCCAACCCTCCAAAGAACTGAGGAAAGCTGGGAGTGGGAGAGGCGGTCTTCCCCAGGGAAGAGCACAGCAATTGGTTGTCCATTGCCAAACAGTCAGCCCTGAAAAGTACAAGTAATATACAAGTAACATTATACAGATTCAACAGGTTATTTATCCTGTCATATAAAATCCACTTGCTCTTCCATCATTTTGTTTCTCACCACACCCCACCCCCCAGCCTTGGCATTTTGGTCCCCAATAAACCTTTCTTTCTACTCATGGAGTAGGCCGCTTCAGTGGTTTCACTGTGTCGTCACTTATACTTGAAGACAAGCACGTCACCAAGCGAGCTCTCTCGCAAGCCTTCTATCCAATATTGATTCAGCACTCCTGTGCCTCCTTTGCAGACAAGGAAACTTTCTTTTTGCTATTGTTGTTTATTGTTTTTTTTTGAGATAATGTTTCTCTGTGTCGCCCTGGCTGTTCTGGAACTCTGTTAGCTAGGTTAGCCTCAAACTCAAGAGTGCTGCCTCCCATGTGCTGGAATTAAAGGTGTGTGCCACCATGCCCAGCCAAAGACACTTCCATAAGGAGCCCAGGGTAGGGTCTTACTTTCTTAGACCCCTGCTCCCACAAGACACTGATCCTAGAACCCATGGAACCTTACTTGGAGCTATCAACAGAAAGGACTTTTTGTTTTGAGAACTGTTTGGATTTTTCCTCTTTAAGTTCCAGCTATTCCATATCATGTGAAGGTCAAGAGTCGGCTCAGTGGTTTTCTAACAAGTGACCTGGATGACAAAGATTCTGTCCTGTGTAAAATGGTCGTTGGGTCCGAGGCTGTAACAGGAATAACTGAAGTGGTGCACATTGGAAAGTACACAATCAGGACCTGAATACAGCAGTGCATGCCTAGAACCCCCAGCCCCTTGGAGGTAAAGGCAGGATGGAGTGTTCCAGACAAGCCTGGGCTATATAGTGAAAGGCAGCCCCCAAGCCCAAGGGCTAGGGATGTATCTCAGAGAGAACATGTCTCATATGCACAAGGTTCTCTATCCCCAACGCCATAAATAAAGAAAACAAAAGTAAAGAATCAGGGCCTGCTTCTAATTTACTCCTCTCCTTGCTACTTTTGGACTTCAATGTCGTTCCTTCCACTTCTATAGAACAATGCATTCATTTTCAATATCTAAACAGCTTCCCCTTCCCTAATTTTATGTTTTTTGATCAGCTTTAATGTCATTTTTATATATTTTTTATTTATTTTATCAGATATTTGAATGTATACCATTTGAGTGCCT